TATTACAACATATTACAACATACTACTCGTACTCTGCACAAGTTGGCACGGTCGGCAAATGTCGGCAAAGTATCAAACATTACCAAACTCTCTCAACTTTCATTAAATATATTAAATGTACCCTTTTCAAGGTGATGCCCCGTCCGAGCCAGGCATCGGTCCACATGGCTAGAGGCATCTTTGACTTCCTGGGAGAAAAGGAGTTTCTCTGAAAATCTTGGGGGGGAAACAGTCCATCCATTTCTGAATCATCAGCTTCTCTATGAAAATGTATCAACATGGCAATTTGGGGGATATACCAATCATTTCTAGACACACCCACATACCCCATGTGCCATTTTGAACCTGAATCACTAGTCACTGGTTACTAGATTGAACGCACTCCTGCATACGTTGTTAGATGGCTTCCATTGTAGAGACACACTCTCTTCCACTATACATAAACCTGCTATGTATAATATATATATATTCTATATTATGCACATTTACAAATGTGTAGAAGCCCACTCAGGATACATACCTCAAACGCAACCGTGTTAATTATATATCTTGCGATATAGTGCAAGATTGTTTGAGGCCGCTTCAACTTATCAAAAAAGAGAGTGAGGGTACTTGCAAGAGGCCTGCTCATGACTTCCTCAAATTTATTTCTGGGGGAATACCCCTTGTCATAAAGGGGGTGGGATTAGGTTGAAGCAACATGATGGCATGGCAATACAACACCTGCCATTGCATTGGCACCAGCAGTAACGACCACCTGCAACTGAAGGTCATCAGTTCCGTCATGCCTGCAGAGTAGACCAGTCCAATGTCGATGCCAGGAACGAAAAAGAGACCTGGTCTCTGCCATGGGTTTGCCCACAAGAGTTGCTCGCGTTTTCTCGTATTTGCTGACTCGCTTAGTTGCTGACTCGGCCAATGTTCGGGATATACCCGCCAAAGTGACATTTTTTTGAATGAAGAAAATGATGACGAAACCCCTGAATTTTGGACAAACCCGCATGCTGAAACCACATACTACCGCCTTTCAAGGACTACGTCTTGTCCCAACTCCAGTCATAAGGGGCTTGATGGGATGTAAAAACCCTGCGAGTACCCGCTCAGGAACGCAAAGGCAATGATGACACAACATTAAAAAAGGATAATCCTTGATCTCAACCAATGAACTGCGACAGGTTGAAAGCATAAACTGCAAATTCATCGCTTCTTTGTTCCTCGTTGCATCTTGGTGTGATCTGTGTAACAACCAACAAGCAGCTCCACGCAGCTCCTAACTTGTCGTGACGCATGGGCGGCTTCGAATGCCATCTTTGTTTCTCATTGATGTGGGCTATCAAATCTACTGGTTAATCATAATTGTCCCTACTTAAATTGCTATTGGGGGTTACAGTATGCCCCATTTTCAAACAAATCCATGTGCACTGCAGCCAAGGGTCTCTTAGAATCACCAACCATCAAGCGCTTATCGAAGGACAAGCCCAACATGGCACCAGCAGCAGTGATGTGCCCATTCAATGCTGCCACTGTGGGCATTCCTAGCGTCAAAATACCTCAAGGAAGCACCAGAGGTAAAGCAGGTCACAGTCAAGTCAGTAATTACTACCCTCTGGTAATCAAACATGGCAATTGAAAGTTATCTATATTATCTATACTGTAGATGGTGGTTTAGTGGGAAAATCATCCATAAATAAATGTTCTTGTTTTTCATTGCCATATTTCATTGCTGTAAGCGGAGTATAGATTATTTATCACTACAGCTGCAGTACCTCGCATGATGATATATATATATATATATATTTTTTATGATATAACCATACCGACCATGATGGATTCTACAACTAGTTCCACCAGGATATGGTCACCGTGATGAAACATATGTTTTTTTTTTTTCTGGTGCTTTTACATCTCCCAGCAAGAACTGCAGCAAGTTGCGACACATCAACTTCTCAGCGTCGGTCTGAATCTGGGTGGACTGGTTTACATTGGCAGAGATGTACCTCACCAAACCAGGATGTGGGTCAACATTTCAACGGTCATTGCCATATTCAAACATGAGATGTTTGACTAACAAAACTGGCCAGAATCAGTGGGGAGGGATTAGAGCTTAAACATGTTTAAACCATTCCTGGTTGGTGCAGCTGACATTGAGATGAAGAGTGCTGGAAACGTTGGGCGGCATCACCATTGCAAGCCCAGCTCGGTATGCTCTTCGAAAGCGCTGACAAAATGGACACGTTGTATACGGGCACGATTCGGCAATTACATGCAATTACCATCATTTGATAATCTGATACATCATTTGGCATTCATTTTACCCTCTGGTAAACTAACATAACTATGGAAAATCACCATTTTCAATGGGAAAATCCCCTATAAATGGTCATTTTCAATAGCTATGTTAAATTACCAGATGGTACTCCCATGAGAATTGAAGGGTTGGTCCCAAATGGTGGCTTTCAAAGGTCTTCAACGAATGCAACATGCCATCGACCCATCGACCCATGGGTTAAACAAACCCCACGCCCAGCAGCTGAAGATCCATGCCGTTGCAAAAGAACTTGCCATCGCCTCCGGTCTTTATTGATGGTTTGTGATAGTTTATGGTAATTATCGATGTAATCAGTCCAGGATAATTTAGGATACTTTAGGATCTTATGACAAATTATGACAAATTATGACAGCATATGACAGCCGATAGCACAGCAAAGTTGGCATTCCCTGTGATCTTTGGCCCATCGGCCCATCGGCACGCCATCGGCCTGTGACCAGAAGTGCTTGTGCACCAGCGTCCTCCGCTGCATCCAATGACTTGTTCACCTGCAGCTGTGCCGAGTTTCATCAGAAAACGGATACTTTTTTGTGCGTATCCAATTCCATAGCCTACATAGAATTATATTATAGAATTGTACCGTATTGACTGTATTGTCGTTATTTATCAGTTTCATGCAGTTTCTTCATCATGTTGTTACTTTTTGATATTTGTTTCTATATTCACATTCACTTGGGTTTGTCTGAGAATAGGGTATATTCCCAATGAAATAGCCATTTAATAGGGATAATGATCAGCAAAACCATTGGGTTTAGGGGTACACTATTTTCAGACACACCCACTTGACAAAAGATGCGTCACATGGCAAGCAACTGCGTTTTTTGTAAGGCGCACGTTGGAGATCCCAGCCTGCTTGATGAGGGATGGGTTGATGCGATGCTCCCACACACGCGTGCCCCAAGAGAACTGCCCCTCTGGAGATAGAAATCGCACCTCTTTCAGTGTCAGGCGGATAGGGATGTCGGGGTGGATTGTGGCTGACAAAATCTTGTTGAAACATAATATGAACATCAATAACCTGGACATGCATATACACATATACACATATACAAACAAAGCATATTTTGCTCACCTGTTTTGTGCATGTAGTCCCTCATAGTCACTCTCAAGGTCAGAATCCAGAATGCGACCTGCTCCTGGGCCCGGCACCACTGCTACATCATCTACTATCTGAGTGGTGATCAAATCCATGTCATCACCTCACATGACCAAAAGAAGCGTCTTGGCATCATTTCTTCAGAGAAGTATGACATGCCCAAAGGATCCTAAAGGATCCTAAAGGATCCTAAAGGATCCTAAAGGTACTCGCACTACCCTCTGGTAATTTAACATAGCTATTGAAAATCACCATTTTTAATGGGAAAACTCACTATAAATGGCCATTTTCAATAGCTATGTTAGTTTACCAGAGGGTAACATGTTCAATCTTCAAGTCAGGTGGGCCCTCATGGAGGGAAAGGTCTCCGATAAATGGACCATTGGGAGACGAGAAACGCACGGAAGAAAAGCGCCGCCAGCAGCCTGAGGCTGAGTCAGACTGAGTCACAGAACATCAAGAAGATCCACCACAAAACTGATGTTTATAACACTGGTATACACTGCTTATATCTGCTTATATATTGCCAACCCCGGATTATTTTTCACCCTGGTTGATTGATTGTGGTGGTTCCCCCAAATAATTAGCGATAAAAGGCTACTGAAATGGTAGCTCCCAATGGTCAACAGATCCAGCACCATGGTGCTGCCAGCCTTGCCCGAGACGAAATCGGGTCCAGGCGCGTGCCAAGCGTGAAGACGCCTGGGTTCTGCGTCCTCTCCGTCTCTTTATGGAGCCAACATGTTGATCATATTGAAGGATAACAGTGGGAAATCAATGGAAATGGGATGTTTATAGATGTTTATGGATTAGTCTTAGGTAAGATTATCTTGATCATATGGAGGTGTTTGATAGTATGTGGCAGGCTGGGAACAAAGAAAATCCGGCCCTTAAATTGGCTAAACCTTGGATGATACTTTTGGGTTTCAAGAAGTTTACCCTCCGGTAAACATAGCCATGGAAAATGGATGAAAACGGCCCATTTACAAATGATTTAGCTGTTAAATGACCGATTTTCCATAGCTATATGTTAGTTCTGAAGGGTAGGTGCAAGCCCACCATTGTTACAATGGCATCCGAAGTGCCTTTGCCATCGACATGGCTGCCACTCGCGCCACTCGCTACGTGTTGCTGCACGACAGGAGTAGCCACTGGGGCTTGAGAAGCGCACATTTGGCAAGGTAGTGAGGTAGAAATTCGATGAAATTTACTGGAACATGGTGGGACGCAGTCGAATCTATATATGTTTTTTTATTTATTTTTAATATTTTTGTTAGCTTCTCAGAGGCAAATATTACAATAACTATTAATGAATCCATGACCATGATTTAATGGTGTAAGATGATGTATGTCAAGTAAAGTGATATAACGAACAGTATTACATGGTATGTATATATATATGTGTGTGTGTGTGCGCTATATATACTATATATATAATATAGTTGGGGTATCTATTTCTTTTTCATTTGGATTCGACACATTGAGATTCTTGGGGGATGATTGGATTGATTCTGCCATCCTTCCAGTGACCAAAGACATCCAAAGACCATGTGGATACCACGTTGAGAGCCACGCTTGCCGCTACCTGCACCAGCTACCTGGAACGCGCTTTGGATACAAATCTAACCCACTGACTCATGAAATTTTAGAATAATGGCTGAAAATTGCTGAAAGCAAGGCCCACTATATAATCTACATATGTATGTGTGTAGGGTTCCATGTTTTTTCGATGCCAGTTGAGATCTTCAGCCCCAGGCCACAAGCAAAGCACGATCTGCAGGGCTGGTGACTGCCGCCTGCTGCGACCTAAAAGCCCATGCCACGGCTGGCGGCTGGCTGTTGATCCATTTTGAAGCAGGGGCACATGATGTGTCACTAATGGTACTAATCAGTTGATCCAGATGGTACTAACATGTAACATGTACTAACATGTGCTAACCAGTTAGTGTTCACATATTATATAAGTAAATCCAAGCTCTATGAGTCTATGAGTGGGTATCAACTGGGGCGGCAACATGGTGAGACCTGCCAAGATGTTGGCGCCTATGTGGGATGCCAGGTGTGTTCCAGCTCGTTGGGGCCTTAGGCAACGAACAGAAGGGAAAGCTTCTGAGTTGAGCTGATCAAGAGGTTTATCAACATATATCAACATCCATTAGCATTGATCAGCATCCATCAAATCACATCAAATCCAGAATCTACATTAATCATGTCGGAGATGTCGAAACCATACATATCCTCATATCCATACTTTGACGCATCGTTCAAGGACACATAAGGACACTATCTCATTCACCTCAGCATGGCACCTGGGTGGCACACTCGGCGGAGCCTGCAAGCAGTGCTAAGCTGGGAAAGGAAGGTTCAGAAAGCTCGGCGGAGACCTAACTTTTCCGAAGTGGATGATGCAGAAAAGACTATAGCATACTATACAATAGGCAACTATGAAAATGGATGAAAATGGCACGCCGTGTCCAAACGTCGTGATTTGAAATGCTGCTCAGCAAAGTGGATGATCTTGCTGAAATGCAGACCACACCGTGGGCTGGTGAAGCTGAAGTGGCTTGCTGTCCAAGCACCTGGGCACCCAGCGGCATGGATTTCCCAAGGGTAACTGATGGGCAAGTGATGGCAACTGCTACAGGCAGAAATGCTGCCCTGCGCACGTCCACTGCACTGTACCAAGCTGGCAAGTCAAGTTTAACAGCTTTGCTCCTGTGTCCCTTGGCTCTCTCACTTGTGAATCAGGATTGCGTTGGTGACTCCTGGTCAGTGATGCGTTGGCTGATGTTGGCTGCATTGTAGTTTTCTTCAAGCAAACTCATGGCCCAACCTTGCATCCAATCCAGCAGCAGAGGATCGCGATCGCCTGCCATGGAACAATGCGGAGGATGCAAACAGTGCCTGAACAGTGCTATGCAACACCCGGAATTCCTGAACAATCGGACGGTTCCATCCGTTTCCCATCCGTTTCCCATCCGTTTCCCATCCGTTTCCCATCCGTTTCCCATCCGTTTCCCATCCGTTTCCCACACATCCAATGCGAGAACCCTCCGGCTGGACCAGCCACCTTTCACCCTTCTGCGCTCATAGCTGGCCAACAGCGCCTCCGGAGAGATTTGAACATTCAATTTTATTTCATGCGGGAACCCCCCCCAAAAAAAACGACCATTTGGAAATGGTTTCTACCACCCGTAAAGGGGATGGTTGATTATTTGTCACACTAAATACAAGTATGTATATATATATATTATAATATAATTGTGTTTTATTTGTGAATATATAGAGCGGTTTGATGATTTTTGGTCTTTCAGATGCTAAGAATGGATCAAAATGGTCTGGTGTTGTTCGGCTTCAAATGCGAGACATATCGAGACTGCTGTGACTTTCTGGGCGCAACTTCCAAAATCAGTCAGTCATACCATACCTTGGCTGGACAGCTGTGGATCTTGACGTTAATTCGTCTTAATTCATCTTAATTCTATAAATTATTATAAAATTGTGTTGCTCAGTGGCCAACCCTTACGTCCATACTGCTATATATACTTCTGATTGCTGACAGATTCAACTACTCGTTCGCTTTCCGCACTGGGGCCATGGCGTGCAAGTCCTGGGGGTGATGTTGCAAGAGCTCGCAAATTAATGCCTCACCGCTCGGGGCATTCTGGGTGGGAAGGCGAGCAGGGAAAAGTCCTGGAGGCTCAAAATCATTGATAATCATTGTGCACTGTGCACAGCCATTTCAACAAAAGGTCATTCCTTCTAAACTTCAATACTTACTTGATCTTACTTGAGCCCTAGCCGACTAGCGGACCTACAGCCATGGGATGGGATTTTTGTTCGAGCCTGCGGCCCTTTGGAAAAGTGCGAGAAAACGCGGTCCGCTGGGGCTCTCCCGGCCTGAGTTGCTAATGACATCAACCAAATTATGGCCAATAGCCGCCCTCAATAATGGTTCATGAATCATTGTTAAGCATCAAATATTAGATCAAAATTGTGATTGCTTGTTGTTGGTTAATATGGTGAATTGGTGTTACTTGTCGTTTTCCAATTGGTTATATCTAGATAGTATATGGATATAGTTAATAATCCCTCACTAAAACATATCATAAAACAGAAGTCAACAGAATTCACCAGTTCGTTACAATAATCCCTCAATAACACCAAATCCAAGCGACTCGTGAGGGCAAGTGTCTGACAACTGCCATCAGATGGTGACTGGAGATTCCTCCCCAGGCTTCCCTGCCCAGTCGTCCACAGTGAAATTCATTGGCCAACAGCCCGATCTTTGGGGCTGTCCATCGTTTGGAAATCTGTCCTGAGATGTTCATGCCAGGAATGTCATCTTCCTTCTCAAAGTGAAGGTCTTTATGATATTTTATGATCTTTATGCTTGCATTGGCCGCATTAGTCTTGCGCGGACCTTCAGTTATGTTTCTCACAGGCCCCGAAATCACAATGTTGAAACCTGAAGTTACGTCGGATAAGATAAACACATCAAACTATCAAACATTGGGACGATCTGACACCAACAATTTCAAATACTTACAAAATTGTCCCACCCTCGCAAGTTTACACTCTAACCTCTGCTATGTTTCCTTCGCCCATATTTCAACACAAGCACCTGGAGGTTTCGGAGCTGTTACCCACGTCTCAATTCAAAAAAACTCGCGGCTGCGGCATCGGAACAGCATCATGAAGCAAGCTGATTAAATGCTGATAGCTGTCAGCAGTGCCCTATGAGATTCTATGAGATGTCATTTCTTTCTGGCTTCCAGTGTTCACCCCATCGTTTTGTGGGAGCCCTTGGAGCCCTTCTCATTTCATGTTCTTTGCTTGAATTGTCCCAGCTGGACGAAAATGACAAATTGGTTGCAGCCGCCGCAACCGCTATTTCCTGCACAAACGCTCCGGGTTCGGTTTTTCCAATTGAGCTGCATCTGCAGCATGTGAATTTAACTTGCATCATTCAGCAGTTGAATTTAACTTGGTTCATTAGATCTTGCATGATCAGCGCATACCCTGGGCTCCAATGGCCCCACTGGACATGACTTTTGGTCCGATTGCGATGATCAGCATTTAAAAAACAACTCACAGAGCGCTGGAGAAGCTGTTGGCCTGCAAAGCGGGCCAACAGCTGGGTGGGTAAGGTGGGTTATGTAACACGTTGATGTTCCCCATTGTTCCCCCATCTAATTAAATTTATAGAAATTATATGATTTTATCCATCAGGAACCCCAGGTAGCCTAGTACATCCTAGTACCATCTACCTGAATCTACATATACTCTGCTGGCCCACCTGGACCATGACCACCTTTCAACTGAGCTCCGGAACTTGTTCTCCATAGCCTTAGGCGCTGAAAGGATCGGGATCTCTTGCGGATCCCGGTGGCTTAGAATATAAATGCCAGAAAACCCGTCAAAATACATGGAAAAAAACTGAAGTAACCCTGTATAAGCCTCTACTTACATGTATATCATGTATCGAATATTGATTTGCGATGATCTACATCATATCATTAATATATCTATCTATCTATATATATATACATACTTATCATGATTTATTCATAATCTCATTTCCATATTACTCTCTGGTAAACTAACTTTACCATGGAAAATCACCATGCTATTCATGGGAAAATGGTCCCACTCTTTCGACTGGGCCATCTGCAGCTCCGGTGAATCCGAGACACAAATCACCTCACCCTCCGCCAACTCCATGTCATCGTCGTCACAGGTGATCTGCGGATAACATGCGCATCCCAGCATCCCACGAAGCCGAAAAAACGTCGGTCAAACCGGGGCATTTATTGGTGCACTTGGGACCATAGAATTTGACTGTTCAATATATGTTACTCTATTTTCATATATACATATTGGGATGGGATTATATACAATAATCTATATTAGTGCGAGTGATCTTTGGGCCAAGTGCATTCTGAAAGAGCTTTTATGATTGAGTATTGGCATGCTACAATATCTGATACTTACTGTATAATTTTAATTATCCTTTAAATGAAAAGTGTGGTAAACTAACCATCCCCAATAGAGTCTATGTGTTGAAAAAATATTGTATTGTATTTTTGGGCGGCATACCCTATTTGAAATTATGTATATATATATGTATATATGTAAATCTATATATATATATATGTGTGTATATATATAATTATATATGTATGTGTGTATATATATGCATATATATATACATGTGTATATATATATATATATATATTATATTTATCACAAACTACTATGGAAAGCAAACTAAAGACCCTAAGTGGTCGTGGTGATTCAAAATAGGGGTATATGGTATATATTGGTATACTGTATTACTACCCAATATCTATTCGTAAACCTTTTTTTTGGAAGAAATTCATGGAAACTCCGCCTTGGGTTGTGGTATAGGTACCCCTCTTAGGCCCAGACGGAAGTCGCAGCTACAGGCAAAGGTGCAAGTTCGCGAGTCGTACCTGGAGAATGAGAGGAACCTTTCAAAGCCAGGTTTTTCTATACATGGTCAATGGCAACCAATAGGAATTTATGGTTGACAGGTGTTGACAGTCCCCTGATACCATCTCTCTCAGATCTCTTTGGAGCTCATTGCTACGTATATATATATATTATTATTATTGTTATTATTATTATTACACTAAATTGATTTGGACATATGTTGACCACGCAGGCCGGGGGGATGCATGGTGTTCGATGGTTGGCCGCAATGATCTCACGCCTCGGAATTCGTCAAAAGAAAGCAGCACTTTAGATGATACAGTACCCCCTGGCAATGAAACATGGTTTGCTGTGAAAATCTGGACATCTATGAAATCCATCCCCATTTCCTTCGATTTTCCCAGCATTAAATTACTTTACTTCGAGTTATCCCCACCATGACATCTATACGTTTTGTTACTGGCAAATCTTCTGGCATTCTATCTGACATATCTTCTGGCATTTTATCTGGCACATCTTCTGGCATTCTATCCGGCATATCTTCTGGCATTCTACGAGTCCGGGGGGTAACTTGCCCCAAAATCTATGAACTCACCCCACCGCATGGCACACCGCTTACCCCACGACCACAAGAACTTACGCCATGTGCAAATCACCATGGCACACCGGCCCTCACGGATAGGTTTTTGGATTGGTTTGCTATTTTCCTAAGGGATTTGGTACATTTTACATCAGTTCGTGAATTCTTTGACCTCACCCCAAATGTCAAGGAACGCATGGCACACCTACAAATTGTTTTCTATCAACCCAAGTTCTCAGATGTAAGTCCCATTGTCGGAACAACATATTTAATCTCTAAGAATGTCATCCATGATGGTTTTCCCCATTGGCACACCGAGTACATCCAAGTACTCAGGTAACAGTTTTCCTTTCTGCAGCCGATCACTTTGCCGATCCATGTGTGTGCACATTGTTTTCATGAAGTTCCTATGCGGACTGCAACGCTTTGTACCGTTTATCTGTCTTAAACCTGACACAAAGCGTTGTAAACCGCATGGCACACCATCAACTTGACCTCTAGAAGACCAGGAGTTCTACATGTCATTCTCATTGCGTTATTTTTGCGAGATCCTTACGAGGTCTTTACGAGATCTGTACGAGATCTGGATTTTGCAAGGCAAGGCAGCAGGGCAAGGCAGCAGGGATCTTTTCTACTCTTCCCTTCTCTGCTCTAGGCCTCTCTAATCACTTCTACTCTTCAATTCGATTCTCTTCTCTACTCTTCTGTATATAGTCTCTTCTACTCTACTCTTCTCTTCTACTGTTCTCTCTTCTGTGCGAGTCAAGCTATTGAGAAGCCATCCCCATGAGTTTCTATCTCAAGAAGAATATGTCTCAAAAACATGTGTGCCCCTGTAAAGTGTTAGAAAAATCAATGCCACAAACAATTATTCATCCAGCAAGAATGACATGTATATCATGGACTTCCCAACGGCACCCCGTTTGCGGCACAAGAAGATGACCGCGGCATAAGTTACCACTTTGACCATCTTTGACCCAGTACCTGGCATATCTTCTGCAATATGTTCTGGCATATCTTCTGGCACTCTATCTGGCATATATTCTGGCATATCTTCTGACATTCTATCTGGCATTCTATCTGGCAAATCTTCTGGCATATGTTCTGGCAAACATTCTGACACTTTATCTGGCATACCTTCTGGCATTCTATCTGGCATTCTATCTGGCATACCTTCTGGCATTCTATCTGGCAAATCTTCTAGCATTTTATCTGGCATATCTTCTGGCATTCTATCAGCATTCTACCTGGCATATCTTCTGGCATATGTTCTGGCACTCTATCTGGCATATCTTCTGACATTCTATCTGGCATTCTATCCGGCAAATCTTCTGGCGTTCTATCTGGCAAACATTCTGGCACTGTATCTGGCATACCTTCTGGCAATCTATCTGACATTCTATCTGGCATACCTTCTGGCATTCTATCTGGCAAATCTTCTGGCGTTCTATCTGGCAAACATTCTGGCACTTTATCTGGCATACCTTCTGGCATTCTATCTGACATTCTATCTAGCATACCTTCTGGCATTCTATCTGGCATATCTTCTGGCATTCTATCTGGCAAACATTCTGGCACTTTATAAGGCATATCTTCTGGCATTTTTTCTGACATTCTATCTGGCGTTCTATCTGGCATATCTTCTGGCATTCTATCTGGCCGTTGAGGTCCAGCGGTGCTCACTGAGCTCGAAGGGTCCCAGGTTGAGGTCCAGCGGTGCTCACTGAGCTCGGACGGTCCCAGGTTGAGGTCCAGCGGTGCTCACTGAGGTCGGAAGCCTTGCAGTTGAGGTCCAGCAGTGCCCACTGCGTGCGGAAGTTGGCGAAGAGCTTGGCGAAGAGTTGGCAAGGCGGAAGTGAACATGGGAGTGGATGCAAAGGTGGTGGAGGAGAAGCTGGAGGAGAGGGAGGAGGAGGAGGTGGAGGATGAGGAGGAGGAGGAGGCGGAGGAGGAGAACAACTGTGATAAAATCTAACAACCCTCACCTGGCAGGTGGGGAAAAAACAGTTGAAAGCTCCTTGGCTGGGCCAGTCCTCTGAGGTGCCAAACAAACGGTGCAGCAGTGCTGCAAAGTTGCCACCCTCTGCGCCTCGCTGCGCATGCCGCGCCAGTTGATTCATTGATCTCTGGTGACATGAAGCGATACCTTTGCTCATCAACCACATGTCGTCTATCCAGGAATCGACCCGGTAAAACGGTCACAGCATTTGGAAATTGACAGATATGGACGGACAAAATCGGACAACATGGACAACTATGGACAACTCATGGGGGGGAACCCAAGCAAAATGATATTTTATAAATGATTTAGTGATCTAGGTTTGTCGTCGATTTTCTATATTCCTTATGTATTCCGTTGCTTTACTCCAAGGCCCCTGATTTGATAACTGGCCACAGGGGCCCTGGCCATTCCGGCGTTCGGTGTCAGCCAGCATCACCACCCGTTCGATGAGAGCCTGGTTGGGTGAGCCCAACATCAGACATCTTCAGCAATTGACCAGTGAATTGCGAAACGGTCAACGATTAATGATGAACAAAATCACTTCAGAATCAAAAAAATGTGATGGTCAAGCTCGGAATCGTCTAGCAAACAAAGCAAATAAAAAATATACCATTAGAAATCAACAACATCTACTAGCAGCAATGATTGGATACCCAGTGCCACTAGCTTGGGCCTTGAGGTGTTGAAAATCCATGCCTTGGGGCGTGCTGAAAGTGCGGCAGGTTCACCAACGACATCGCTAATGTGCAACTATTCATAGATTAATGCAAACATTGAAATACAATACGGGTTATAGAGATTTATAGAGGGCATGCGAAGGATTAATGAAATGTTCATCCACTAGAATAATCTATAACCTCGAGCATAGAGATAATTACTGATGCTGACATACCGTATGGTCCTTGCAGGTAAGAGACGGCACAACCATCCCCGAAAAACCTCACCCAATTTGTGGCACACCCAATGAGCCATTGCAGAGCTGATTCGATCGTCGAGTGGCTGATTCGATCCAGCGCACTTTGCTGCAACATGCAGAGCTGCTCTGCTTCAGCCAAACCTGAGGGAGAGAAGGAATGTCCATTTCCAACATGTTTTTTTCTCCAACATCATGGGACTTTAGGAATCCAACCCCATTTCCAACCCCATTTTCCAACATTTTCCAACATTTCATGGGACTTTAGGAATCCACTGCATCGTTGTTAGCGTAGGCCAAACATCTCTCACCGTGAATTGCTCGGCTCTGCACGGAGATCAGACTCGTCCCCTGGAACGGTGAACTAGGGCCAGGGTGATCGTGAAATCCCATAGGCCTTTACAATTTGCATATAGGTCACTGTAAAATACATCATATAAATAAAGATCATATAAATATCATTATAAATCATGATAAATGTATAAATCATTGTAAATTATATATCATTATAATGTAACTGTAACACATATAAATCATTATAAATCCCATATAAATCCCATATAAATCCCTATATCTTGGTAAGAAAACACCAATATTTACCGATCATTCATTGGTCTAAATCATGGGTTTCTATGGCTTTGTTCTTCCCAACACTGGAGGGTAACTCACCGTTCACCGTTCACCGGGCCTTTGTTGCCCTTGACTTTGGCACCTCCGCGTGCACGTTTCATGCCACCAGACCGTAGTCGGATAGAAATTGATAATTAATTAATAGGGCAAGCAATAACAATTGGACTATGAGTGATGAATCTGAATATGGCCACTTAGGCATCCAATCATCGACTCGACCAGGACAGGGGAGTTCAGGCCCCAACCCACAGCTGCACGGCGATGAGGCATCACTGGAGGAGAAGCACCTCAGGGGCTTGGTGTGGTTCATACACCCCCCTAAAGCTCACATGGAACCATCGATCATCGAATTGGGTTTGGAACCTGATTGTTCTATTGGATTAGGCATGTTGGGGTCTAACTTAACTAACTACTGGAGCCGTATGTGTGACAGAGTAGTGGGTAGCAAATTGGCGCCTCGATGTCATAGAAATAAGGCGTACTAAGGTCTGGGGGGGGTGTGCTAACCCCAGAGTGCTCCCAATTCTCACCTAAACAGATCCATGTTTTGCGATTTCCACATCTTTATATCGGTCATTTATTGGATTTCAATATCATTCATTTGTATTCAATCTATGCCAATCTGTACACATGAGCCTAAAATAGCTTAAATATATCAATATTGTGTTTTCCAAAAACCCGGGGTGCCCCGAAGACCATATATACTCTCTACTCCAGCTGCACATTCCACGAAACACCAATCGAAATGCGGAGGGTAAAACTGATGCCTGCTCGACATGAAGGAAAATGGGTTGCCAGTGCGAGTAAATCCGCACACTCCAAACAACTATAGCAACTAAGATATCTGGTCAGTCTTTACTTCAGCAAATACAGGTCCTCACTCACATATAAATAGGTTCAAACTGACAGTCTCCCTCTGCCTTCCTACCTCTCCCTGGCCTATCTTTTTGCAGTGACCTTTCGTCTTGTTTTCTGGAGCCTGACTTGATACTTGGTCACCCTTGGGCAACCTTACGAGCTGCAGGACGCTTCGGACGCCTGAGTCCAGGCGTAAAATCTGGAGCGGTGGCAGTCTGGGAGCAACGATAACCCCCAAAAATAGGGGATAGATAACCCCAAAAAATAGGGATTGATTGGGGCTGATAAGCCTTACATAAAATTTAAGGCCTTGATTGTTTGGGGTTGCCCTTGGAGGCACCCGTGGATTTCCCATGGAAATCAAGCGTTTGACGCAAGGCACAACATGAAAACTGAGGACACGGCGGTGGCAAAGGAGTTCCAACGACGGACCTGTCGCTGGGTTGTGACAAGCAGTGGGGTCCCCGAGGTTATCTATGACCTGGCTGAATCATGAACAACCACTGGCTCTTGCGGCCACAATTGCCGCCCATCCGCAAGAACCACGGCAGTGGGGAGACCGATGTGAAAACCAACGATGTCTTTTTGCCTCTCAGCTTTCTGTATTACAAGTGCAGGCGCCATGTGCATGCCTTACTTTGGGCATCTCTGGCACGGTGCTTCTAGCTGACTTCTAGGACTTGGGGAACCCAGATGGACCCAGATCGATTTTTGTTTTGTTAGATGGGAAGTATCAGTGGAACAATGGTGGACTACACAAGTATTGACTCAACTCTTCCTACCCATTCAAGATGAGTAAATCACCACTCTTGGTTTGCAATGTTGGCACTTCCTCCTGCAAAAGCACCAGTGCCTCCAACGAGTTGAAAGCCGGGCTTGATGAGTTGATTCAGGTGTTTCACCGGCAGGGGCCAGCATGGACCATGGAATGGTGAACGAACCCCGGCACCAGGTGGATAGCCACCCTCCCTATGATCCTATGAAGGACGCTGCACCATGAGATACCATGAGTACGTGCATCGTTTCGATGTTGGTTGCTGGCCCATGCTGGCCCCACCTCTCCCAGCTTGAAATTCAGCAAACTACTGCAAAAACACTCTAACCAGACTCTAACCCTGGGACGCCGCCGGTCAATTTTAAGTGGTGAATTGGCACCCACTTTACTGGGTCAGTGGGTCAAATCGTCCCATGGCTCAATGACCTGGCCGCGGACGCCTTTTTTGTCAGTGAGACTATGACCTTGGGCGGGCTCCCAGGTGGCAGGATCTCAATGGTATGAAGGAGGGACGACCATTTACATCATTTGCTCCACAATGCTGGTGCTGCAAGCAAAATGGAAATGGCCAGTGAATGCCATATAATGCAATATAATATGATCTTGATAACGGTACCATGTGGTACGCATTTTACTCCTCGCATTGCAAATCAAGAAAAAGGCACGACATGTCACGACTACACATGGAAGGTGGGCTTTTATTTGTTGCTCCCCAAATAGAATTTGAGTAAAATTCCAAGGCCAATAGGTGCCATGACCATCCCGACACATGACATGCCGTCTGACTGGGATTCAAGCGGTTGGATGAGTCACACTTGCCTCCGAGCCCTGACCTGACAAGCTCTGGATGTTTTGATGATGTTTTGATGTTTTGTGAAGCTCTAAATTTCAGCGACCAGCTACCTGCTCCGCCTGCTCCTTTGAAAAAGCGGGCCGCTCATCCGGCTCATCCCGAAAGCTATGCAGCTCAGCAGCCCAAACTTCACCATCGCTCCATATGAGTCGATCGGCACTGGCATCGTGCTTTGCCTCACCAAATGCTGGGCATTTTGGGGTGCTGGATGGTGCTGGAAAGATTTCAGGGCCCCATTTCGCCCATTTAATCCACTGGGGATCACTGGGGCCTCCTTGGCGGGCAAGAAATGCAAATCCGAAGCACCGATAGCACCCGAAATCATCGCCTTGTGCTTGGCCCCACTCAAGATCATCTCAAACCCGCCATCAGGAGCCGGCCTGCGAGCACATGGTGCCATAAACTGCCAATTGTTGGGAGGGTTCACACAGATTCTGAGCTCTACTTGTGGTTTCTTGCTCACAGCCTGTTTCGAACAACATCTCCAAAAATCTCGAGGCTTGAAAAGGTGCAGCTCCAAGAACACCATTCATGGATGTGTAATATTTTGTAACCTATCTGATGGCTGCAGCCTCAATCACTCAGCTTGCTGATCAAAAATCCCGGCGCCGCCTGAGTTTTGACTGAGACAAGTTGAAGACCTTGTCCCAAACCACCGTGGATCCTCTGATTTCACCTTAGCAGGCAAAGTCTTAGACATATCTATCGATCTATCTATCTATTATTCTATTTCTATTCTATTCTATTCTATTATCATTTCAGAGTCTTCAGACTGGATTTTTGACAGCTTCTCTTCTGGCAGCACAATGCCTCCGAGCAGCGGAAAAAAAAAGGCTCCGACACAACTGCCTAGGCCTCTCGCAGCCGAGTCACCCATAAGTTGCATGTCCTCTTCAGTTCTCCACATCCCTTGGATTTTGTGGAACTCAGGTGGCACCAGAACCTGCCGGGCTGGACATGGCTGGACATCCACTTAGTCACTTCGAACATGTTCATTCAAATCTGGGGAGCAATCTGTTCATTCAAAAGCAAAGTATGGAAAGTAAAGTATGGCAGTATGGGAATGAGATATTGATACAGAGAATCGACACCAGTCCGGCACCATTGCAATGACAGCCCTGATCTTATCGGTACCCTGCCAGCGCCTTGCTTAGCTGCTCCTGAGAACAGCCGTATCCCCTCTACTGGGCCGCGCTTGCCACTTTCAAAGGATTTCCACAGTCTCCCAATTAGACATACGCATTTCTTTCCTGACATTTGTTGAAATGTGTTGCCATTTGCTGACACCGTGCCAATCAATCCATACCAATCCCAACCACCAAGTTCTAAGAAACACTTTATGTTCCCTCCGGTTTCAGCGTCTCGCCCTCCCCCGGGGTCCGCATCTACTATGTCGTTGTGCCGAGGTGAGAAAGCTTTGAAAACCTCCTGCACCACAAGTTCTCTTGACGCGGCAAGTTGGCTCCTCCCTAAGGATCATGAACCAAATTTCAAAACATGCACGCCCATCATATCCACCCGAAAATGAGTGGGGCCGCGACAGGGGGTTGGACATGTTTCGACTCGTCAAATGCACCAGCCATGACCGCCCTGGCTCCTCCCCTTTGTCACCGGGGCATTGACAATTGTTACCCATGTCCACCTCACCAGCCTGAGAAAATGGCAAATTAAGGACGTCACGTCACAACGTGATGCAGTTTTCCCACATGTTTCAACACCCCGGGCCTTCGCGCGAGGGCGAAATTCTGTGGTGAAAACGTTGGAGCTGAAATGGCCAGGCAGAAATTCCCGGGTGCCCACTGGCAGCAGTTGAACGACCGTTCCCCCAATGATTTTGCTGGGCAAAAAGATGCAAAAAGATGCACAAAATCGCTGGATGCTGAGTGCTCCCAACGCCAAAGCTTCGAAAAGACTTTCGCTCTCCTCACAACGCGAGAACCCCAAATGAAAGTATGATCTCGATCTCCAAGCACAAATGAATATAATTACATAATCAATAGTATTCTATGGTAACCGGTGCATATACACACATTCACACTCAGGCACATGTTTAGACCATACACACACACATATATATATATGATCAATGATTTGATCAATCAAATTCTTTACGCATATTTGAGGGAAAAAACCTTATACTATATATATATATATAAAGAAACCTTGTGTAATTCTGTAGGTTCTCTCTCCATCTCTCTCATGTAATGAATGTACAATATCTCCACCTGTGTATCATGTGATGTTATGCATATGGGTTGTCGGGCACCTCTGAACCTGCTGATTATGCACAATCATCATGTTCATTCATTGTCCCCATTAATTAAAATTGCACTTTGGTTGCAATTTGGGGGTGTGCAGTATATGCAGCATACCAAAATTTCAGAAACGCAATCGGTCTCCTTAGATACCTCCAACTGAACGATCCTCTGTCGCGCCTGGAAGGATGAGGCTAGAACAACCTTCAAGTCAGAAGTTCGGCTGGTTTCCGAACTAATTTCCATCCAAATTCAAACATCGAAATGTTTTTTTTCGCGAATGAAAGCCATGCCCAGTCCCGCTGTTGGAAGTTCGCACCTTTGGCAGACATCTTTCCATCTGTATTTGATGATCCCAATTACAAATGAATTACACCTAAAACGTATCTGTTGGAGATGTTTGAGTGGAATTGACACATCCTATTCCACTAGGTCTGGTCTTAAAATAGGGCATGCCCAAAATTGATGATTATCATCATGTTCTCGCATCCAGCTTTTATTTTAGGAGTATCATGGAGATTCATGGAGTATCCATTTTTTCCGACCAACCCAACTGAAATATGTTTTGTATTCTTTTTCCATCTTTGCTATGGCCTTTTTCAGTTCGGAGCACAATCGGTTGATCTCCTCTTTCAGTTTCATCGTATATCCTCAGCACGGCTAGGGCTGGAACACCTCAACCGCCAACGGCTCACGAATTCATGATCATCCCCAAACAATTTATGATGTTCACCCATGGGCATTTTAAGGCACCATGGCTTATCCGTGTCTATACCATACTTATGTCATTCGTTCATTCCACACAAATTGCTGTTCATGCCCCCCAAATATGCTCTTTTTGCGTCTTTCACCCTTCCCTAAACGGGTTTGAGAGCAGTAGGAAATGCATGGAAACCGACCACCATTCAGGCATGCCATGTTTTGCACCTTTCAAGCTCAGCATCAGAAGTCCATGCCTTGTGTATGGCTCCCTTTAAAACTCCTCCGGTTTTTGCTTTATTCAGGCATGCTTTGGCCTATGTGCAAATTGGATCAGGTTGATCAAATTGGTTTAGCGGTTTAGCAACAATGGCCACATTTCCTTTGGCCATATCTTTATTGGTTGATCCACGTTGACCCCTAGGCCCTAGACATGAATCAACTTGCCAAGTTGGGCCGTTGAAAAAGCGGCCCCGAATTCAGCTGTCATCACTGGCTTCTTCCAGGCTGCTGTCACTCCGCATTTCGCTGAAGGAGAAAAAACCCATCGCTGAACGCATCCAGACACAGGCCCCTGTTAAGACCACGAGACCACAGCAGCTCCAAGAGAAGGAAGCCCACCAAAGCTCTGGATACTTCACCTGGGTAAATGAGGACCATAGTTACCCGATAGCTACCCTTTTTTTGCCGCAAGTGTATAGGGAAAATGGTGATGAACCACAATGATGTCCATGATTAATCATTGACATTCGATGTATTTGTCGGCTAGAAATTTTCAGACCAACCACCTCGGAGGAGAAGAACATGGAACACAACCACGAGATCAACGAAGCCATGTAGAGGATGCGAATGAGACGGAAGTGGATGGTCAATCGCTCAGCCAGCACGCACTTCAAGCCATCAGAGAGCTCCTCAATGGAAAAGAAGAGCTCACAGGAAATCATCAGAGCAATGCTTCCCAACACCAGGGTAGTGACTGCAAAGCCAAAGTACGCGAAATTGGCGGCAGGGTCATGCAGATTGACGCCGGAGAAGAGAACCTCATAAAAGACGTTCCCCACCTGAAAAGCTGTGGAGGATGATCCCAATTTGGCATGAGCCAACATTTGTCTCACCTTGCAGAGGCTAGGGCCCTGGGACCCCATGGCCCCTTCGCCCTCCTTGGGCGCCTCGTTGAGTCTGGAGGCTTCCAGGCGGATGGTGTGCCGCAACCTCCACAGACTTAGCAGCCCCAGGAGGCCACCAATGAGTTGGAGGATGCCATACTTCCAGCCCAGGGGCCCTTGTTCCGACAGCGGGGAGCCATAGTCCCATAACTTGATGTAACCCATGACCTCAGGGGAGGATGGGAAACAAACACCTGGACGATCCACTGGACACCAACGGTTTCATGGAAAAATTTCTGTTGCAACATGATTGCTATAATTCAATATTCTTATGCCACCGCGTTCTTTCGCAATCTCATTCTCATGCAGCTTTTTGTATCACCATGTATCACCTGGGGATAGCCTCTTGTTCCCAACAGATTCCTACAGCGAAACCCAGGCATTACCAGGCCGTATCCGCACCGTAAAGGCCATCATGAACATTGCCAGGCACAGCGCATAGCTCCTGCGCGCATAGATCAGGGTCTCTCCAAGCATTGCGGCAAAGCCTTCCTTGGCCTTGGGACTGAGGCGTGCCAGATTGAAGTCGATGATGGCACTGGTGAAGGTGAGGTACAGGGCGGAACAGAAACTGGCTGCCATGCCTGAAGCCCAAAAAGAAATTAAAAAAGAACACATTGGCAGGTGAAATGATCTCAGGTGGCCAACTTCAAATCAACTGGTTGAGCGTATGATTATCTGTGGATGAGTGAATAATAATGAATAATATGTCGAATTAATTCAAGTTATGTCAATATATTTTAAGGATCATCAGTTAGTGTGGGACAAACATCAATGTTCATCCATTTTCATCCATTTTCGGCCATGTCATCCATTTACCAGCTGTTTGCTCAACCTGGTTTCGACATGTTTCGACGACCCATCCCAGCAATAACCCCAGCCTACCACATAGGTGGGCCCCAAGACAGCCCCAGAGCGGAATAGGAAGCTGATGCCGTTGTATGCGAAGCCACCGAACATCATAGAGGGCCCTGCGGAACTGATGTCCCCCACTACTGTGGATGGTCGCGAAATCCTACATCTGTTGGTAGCTATTGGTAACCATGAAACATGAAACACTGTAAATTATGGGCTTATAAGGAGATAACCATGGATAAACCATCTACTGTTGTTCTATTTGAGTTCCACTATATTGTCATGACATGTGATGGCCCCTACAGTATTGAAGCAATAGTTGCAGCTCCACATTGATAAATTGATATGATATGCTCACATGCACAAAAACAAAAAACATATGACATCATATGATACTGTGTGCCTGCAAGTACCAACATCAACATCTATTAATCCCTCTTTGTCTCTTTGTCTCTCTCTCTCTCTCTCTCTGTTCAGCCCAAAACAGCCGGGATTGTGCATGTGCATCTGCCCTAAAAATAGTATTGCCCATAATATTTACTACTAGAAAGGCAACATCAACAAACAACTTTGGCCCTCCTGTAATGGCATCCAACTTCCCCTGCAACACTGCCACACATGGCCCTGGCGGAACTCTGATGGAGCTGCTCGAGTTGTTTGCCCGGCTGCTGGCCACATGTTGCATGCCCCAAATCTTCCTTAGATTTGTGTTTCAAGGGTGCCAGAGATCTTGGCCTAAGATAAAACATGATAAAAC